TGAAAGAGAGAGGGATGAAAGAGAGAGTGAAAGAGAGAGTGAGAGAGAGAGGGATGAAAGAGAGAGTGAGAGAGAAGAGGGATGAAAGAGAGAGTGAGAGAGGAGGATGAAAGAGAGAATGAGAGAGAGAGGGATGAAAGAGAGAATGAGAGAGAGGGATGAGAGGGAGAGAAAGAGAGAGAGGGATGAGAGGGAGAGAAAGAGAGAGAGGGATGAGAGGGAGAGAAAGAGAGAGAGGATGAGAGGGAGAGAAAGAGAGAGAGGGATGAGAGGAGAGAAAGAGAGAGAGGGATGAGAGGAGAGAGAGAAAGAGAGAGAGGGATGTGAGGGAGAGAAAGAGAGAGAGGGATGAGGGGGAGAGAAAGAGAGAGAGGGATGAGAGGGAGAGAAAGAGAGAGAGGGATGAGAGGGAGAGAAAGAGAGAGAGGGATGAGAGGGAGAGAAAGAGAGAGAGGGATGAGAGAGAGAGATGAGAGAGAGAGAATGACAGAGAGAGAGAATGACAGAGAGAGAGAGATGAGAGAGAGAGAATGACAGAGAGAGAGAGATGAGAGAGAGAGAATGACAGAGAGAGAGAGATGGAGAGAGAGAATGACAGAGAGAGAGAGAGAGAGAGAGGGAGGGGATGAGAGAGAGAGAGAGAGGGATGAGAGAGAGAGAGAGAGAGAGAGAGGATGAGAGAGAAGGAGAGAGAGAGAGAGAGAGAGGGGGAGAGAGAGAGAGAGAGAGAGAGGGATGATGAGAGAGAGAGAGAGAGAGAGAGAGGGATGAAGAGAGAGAGAGAGAGAGAGAGAGGATGAGAGAGAGAGAGAGGGATGAGAGAGAGAGAGAGGATGAGAGAGAGAGAGAGAGAGAGAGAAGAGAGAGAGAGAGAGAGAGAGAGAGAGAGAGAGAGAGAGAGGAGAGAGAGAGAGAGAGAGAGAGAGGAAGAGAGAGAAAGAGATAGAGAGAGAGAGGAAGCGAGGGACAGTGGAACGACCACCGAACTAGGCAAGGCAGCTGCTAGCTTCACTCATCACCAACACATCACCAGTATCTACCAGATATAACGCAGCAAAATAAATGGGTCAAACACTGCCTGGCATAAGTAAAAAGACACGTGCAGTACACTGACGATAAATGGGAAGTCAGGGAACTTTATTCCAAATAAGGGATAAGCGGAGAGGATCAACCACACTCGATTTTTTTTTTTATTGGCAATGACAGCCATCAATTCTTGTTTTCACTCTGCCAACCGAGTCACGATATCAGGTAGAGTTAGACTAATCTTTTCTCAATTACTGAGTCGTAGTTGTCCCTACGCCAGTCTTATAATATTGCAATGATCACGTGCTGTGTCCTCTTTCGTTGGGAGGCGCGGGGGGGGATGTCTGCGCTTCCCATGAGCAAGGTCTATATAAGTACTTATAAAGACCTTGCCCATGAGCGTCCCGTGTTGTCCAGTCCCATTTTTGTCTCGAGGATAGAACTGGGCAGTATATTGTGCATGCTGTTTTACTCAAGAAAGTAAATATGTATACACATATAGATACACACATAAATACACACACACACACCCACACACAGATTATATAAATATATATATACACATATTCATAAATTCAGTACATAATGTGTAGAGCGTATATTCTTAGATTATTTCCTCGACGTCAGCAATGAAACAAAAAATATATATATAAATATATATTTTTTTTATTTGTGGATCCAAAGAAACGTATATTTTCATTTAATGTGACTTTATTCCATTCCATCAGTTTTGAGAGAGAGAGAGAGAGAGAGAGAGAGAGAGAGAGAGAGAGAGAGAGAGAGAGAGAGAGAGAGAGAGAGAGACGAGAGGAGAGAGAGAGAGAGAGAGAGAGAGAGATATGGGGAACAGAGAGAGAAAGAAGACAAAGAGAGAGAGAGAGAGAAAAACAAAGCCAGACCTAAACACACCTAGTCACACGCATTCCGTTCACAATCTTAAAAGTCCCGTTATCACTCTTTATCTACTCCTATCACATCAAATAAATCACAACCTTCTCATCAACTTGTACAAAATTAAATACAAGTTTCTTAATTCACTTAACACAATCAACGAATTCAAACAATCAAATCATAACATATGTATATAAATATTTCTATATACTACGCTAGCATCCTGCAGGTTGCCCAAGGAAGTGCAGAGCTCGTGGTGCCCTCCGAGAAGCTTCCTGCGTCCACGTCAAGGGCGATCTGTTGGTTGGACCTCGAGGTTATAAAGCAGTCGTTCTCAGCCCCTTTCCCTACCACGCCCCCGCCAGGAATTCGTCCCTCCGCCTAAACGCCCCCTTGAATAAAACTCCCTCCCAGATTTGAAAGAAAACCAATAAATATCTTATTAGTCTTTTTATTGAGTATGAATTTGTCACGTTATTTTTAATCTTAGTCATTTGGCCATACTCTCGTTAAGAGATTAATAGATATCAATTGAAGAATTCCTGCTTTTTCCTCAAGGTTTCACATCCAACTTGGAAATTACTGGTAAGAACCACAATTGCAAGGGAACGACAGGGGTTAATTCAGGCATGTACTCGCACCCTGTTGAAAAGCTATTACTATTACTATTACTACTACAACTACTACTACTACTACAACAACTAATAATAATAATAATAATAATAATAATGAATAATAATACATGAAAATGAACTAAAAGGACAACTGTGTATCTATCTGTTCATTGTAAACCTGTAATTCACAACACGAGTAAATACGCAGTGATTCTTTTACAGCTTCTTTGCTAACTGAAAAGAAGAAAATTGTCACGAGACTGATCATTAGACAAAAAAATACAAAGGAAATTGTAAATATTCCTATCATACATTCCCACTCTCCTCTACTCTCCTCCCCCCCCTTGCTCCCTCCCTGCATCCTAGCTACCACTTGTTCCTCTTCCCTTCTCAGACACAAAGATACCATAATTTTGATCTGATCACTCGTCGCCCTTTACCCTTACTCCACTTGCTCCCCCTCTTTGCCCCTTTTGCAACTATACTTTCCTATATTCCTCTACAACCTTTGGCATCTAACGCGTTTCGTCCTGATCATTAACTCGCTTTACCCTCTTCGCTACAATACTTTATCAAAGTGCTGTACGATCTTTGATGTCTGGCATATCTATTTGCTTTTACCATTAACCATTCTCCTCCTTCCCTTTCTCTCTCCCTCCCTGCCTCCTACCTTCTCCTCCTCCCCTCACTCCCTTCCTGCTACTATCTCCTCCCCTCCCTCTCTTCCATCCTGCCTGCTACTATCTCCTCCTCCCCCCCCCTCTCTTCCTCCCTGCCTCTACCTCTCCTTCTCCCTCCCCCCTCCCTCTCTTCCTTCCTGCCTCCTACCATCTCCTCCCCCTCCCTCTTTCCCCTACCCCCATTAAAAATAAATAATAATAAACCTACGCCCATACAGCATCTCGTGACCCTACCGTACACACCTGCCTCATGACCTCTGCTTACCTGTGCTAATTGTTCTCCGATGGGACTACTGAAGGCTCAGCGGTTGCCGCGCCGGTCACTGTAATAAGTAATCTAGTATAAGTATTGGATAATCATGAATACTCTCAGGCAATCTGGTAAATGTAATTGGTGACATAATACGGTAACATTTGATTCATTCTAATCTAGGCATAAATGTAATATTCAAGCATAAATGAATAAATGAATGAATAAATGAATATTACTAAAGACATGCAGATCAAATGGGACTGAAAAAAATACAAAACGAGGTATAAAAACCCAATTTCTAATTTCTATTTACATTCTTCATCTTAACTTCGGTGTCCATCTGTAGAAACGGTATGAATGAGATTGAATATCTTCACAATACATCTCTTGTGTTATGAAGATATTCATTTAATTCATACCTTTCTATCTCTAATTCAATAATGAAATAAGTAAAGGAAAAGATGATGTATAATTCTCTGTTTTTTTTTTTAATCCCATTTAATAAAAGACATAAAGAAAACAATGAATAATACTCCAGAGGAAAAGGGAAATGCAGAAAAAGAATTACCAGAAACCCATAAAAATATTCATATTGTAAATAAAAAATCAGGAAAATTCCTTCTCAAGATGACGAAGAGAAAGAAAGAATTCAAAAAAGAAAAAAGATAATAGAAAAAAAAATCAGGAACACCACTCAGGGAAAGAAATAAAAATACGAGCAATTGATAATAATTACATCGGAATACGAATAAGGATAGAAGGAACACCAGACACTAAGAAACCAAACCAAATCACGAACAAGAACAGACAAACAGCAAGAACAAGACCAATGAAGAAGGCAAAGAGGAAGAGGAAAACAGAAACGACCCAAGCGAGGCGGGAGAAAAGGCGCAAGAGGAGCCTCACCCTTGCAGAGTCCTTTCTCGAGGGGCTGCAGCGCCTCGTCGACCCGCGTGGCGCACCAGGGGGCCCCGCCGGAGGCCTCGGCGCACCGCGTGTAGGTGACGCCGCCGAAGCGGAACGGGAAGACGCACGGGCGCCCCTCCACGGTCGTGGCGGCGTCCGCTCCTGACGGAGGGAGGGAGGGAGGGAGAAGGGTCAATGGTGGAGTGGGTGGGAGGGAGGAGAAGGGTCAATGGTGGAGTGGGAGGGAGGGAGAAGGGTCAATGGTGGAGTGGGAGGGAGGAGAAGGGTCAATGGTGGAGTGGGAGGGAGAGAAGAAGGGAGGGAGGAAGGGAGTATGGGGAAGGGAGGAAGGAGGAAGGGAAGAAGGGAATAAGGGAAGAAGGGAGAGAGGGAGGGAGAAGGGTCAATGGTGGAGTGGGAGGGAGGGAGAGAGGGAGGGAAGGAGAGGGGTCAATGGAAGAAAGGGACGGAGGGAGGAGGGAGGTAGAGAGGAGAGTTGTCAGTGGAAGAATGGGAGGGAGGGAGGAGGAGGGAGAAGGGAGAAGGGTCAGTGGAGGAGTGGGAGGAAGGGGGGAGGGAGGGAGGGAGAAGGGTCAATGGAAGAATGGGAGGGAGGGAGGGAGAAGGGTCAATAGAAGAATAGGAGGGATGGAGGGGAGGGTGCAGGTAGGCAGGGAGGACAGGCTGAATAAAGATCCAGGGAGAGTGGAAACGGCAGGGGCAAGGAGAGAAAGGGAAAGAATATCGGAAAGAGGGATGGAGACAAGGAGGGAGAAAGAAAGGAAAAGGCGGCAAACACACACACACACACACACACACACACACACACACACACACACACACACACACACACACACACACACACTCACTCACTCACTCACTCACTCACTCACACACACACACACACACACACACACACACCACACTCACACACACACACACACACTCACTCACCCACTCACTCACTCACTCACTCACTCACTCACTCACACACACACACACACTCTCACACACACACAGTGCCAGAGGACTTACCAAAGGCAGGCGGCGGCACCTCAGGCGAGGGGCCCTCCAGCAGGCCTTCAAGATGAGAGAAAATACAATAATATAAAACAAGTAATGAAAGTGAGATTGACCAAGCTAATACTAATGATAACAATAATTGCTAAGGTAGTAATAAAATAATATCAATGACAAAATAGATGAAAACAATAACAAGTTACAACTATCATTTACAAATAATAAAAACAACAACAATAATAACAACAATAATAACAACAATTATAATAATAATAATAATAATTCTAACAACAATTATAATAATAACAATAACAATTCCAACAACAATTATAATAATAATAACAATTCTAACAATTATAATAACAATAACAACAATAACAATTCCAACAACAATTATAATATTAATAACAACAATAACAATTCTAACAACAATTATAATAGTAACAACAACAACAACAATGGTACTACTACTACTCCCACTACAACTCCTCCTAATAAATAACAAGAGCGCCAACCGCAGACGCCAGCCACTCACTCTTGCAGTAGTCGGTCACCGCTGGCTCGCGGTTGTTGTTGAGCGAGGTCGGACACCAGCAGGCGGGGGCGTCCTTGCACATGCAGCGGTTGTGGACCTCGCCCTTGTACCGGAACGGGAACACGCAAGGCCCCAGGGTCACGGTCATGGTCAGGCCTGCGTGATGGTGGGGGTGGGAGGGAGGTGTTGTTATTTGTTGTCATTCGCCGGTAGTGGTGTCCATGGCTTCCTTCCGCCCTGTACTACCCGTGTGTAAGGGACATTCGCCGCGAGAACTCCAAAGCCCAATAATTGTAATAGTAATGATAATAATAATAATAATTGTAATGATGGTGATGATAACATTAATGATAATGATATTGAAAATAATCATACGTCCAAAGGAGAGAGAGAGAGAGAGAGAGAGAGAGAGAGAGAGAGAGAGAGAGAGAGAGAGAGAGAGAGAGAGAGAGAGAGAGAGAGAGAGAGGAGAAGAGAGAAGAGAGAGAGAGAGAGAGAGAAAACGCGACGATGTGACGCAAACCCCGAGCGAACAGAGAGCGACTTCTTGGCCCCGATATAACGGGAGGACAGAGAAGGTATCCGGGAAATAACAAAGTAAAACACGAATCCGAAATACGCCAATAAAATAATAATATAAACAGAATAAGTCAAATAATAATATAAACACAATAAGTCACTATATGGTCTAAAGCAGGGGACTGTGCTCCGCGCTCCCTACGAACCCGCCCCAACCCCCTCCTCTCATGCCCTCCCTTGCTATCAGGGCCAAGATCGTGGGCGTGAGGAGTATTACCGCGAAACCATTTATATAAACGAGTGCATACGTGAGTGAGAGGAACCCGTCGACATCACAATCGCCATGGACGGACATGCGAAGGCACCATGAATATTTGCTGCACTTTTGTTTGCCAATGTTAGTTCGTTTTTAATTCAGTTTGCTCTTTATGTAGAGTCTTTTGGGGAAATGGGGAAAGGAGTAGGATGTGAAGGAGGGAGAGAAGGAAGAGGAAGAAGAGGAGAAGGAAAGAGAAAAGAAAATAAGGAGGAGGAGGAAGAGTTATAGAAGAGAAGGAAGATTAATAGGAGGAGGAGGAAGAAAATAAGGAGGAAGAGGAGTAGGGGGAGATGGAGGAGAAGGAAGAAGAGGAAGAGGAAGAAGAATAGGAGGAGGAGGAGGAGGTAGAGAAGCAGGAACAGGAGAAAGGAGAGAGAGGCAAGAGTAAACGAGAAGGAACAAAATAAAGGACTTGATAAAACAACAATCATAATAAAAGAAAACAGGAGAGTCATCGAAGACAAGAGAAAGAAAGAAAAAAAGGAAACAGAAAACAAAATGAAAACGTGACTTGCAAGGCAGGAAACTCACCCAGGACAACAGGCGGCGCTTTCCAAGGGAAGTCCTTCGTGCCGTCTTCAGAGAACACGAACAGAAAGGAAGAAATGTGAAAATGCTGGATAAAAATGAGAATATTGAATTCCAATAAGGGATAATGATAAGCAAAGGTATGTTATAACTCTCAGGTAAAAATGACAACTGTAAAATCCACAGATTACTTATAATTTCTGAAACGGATAAAATGTATCACGAACAATGCAATGTAGACAAAGCCGCACTGTTGATAATTAAACAAATGCAAGAACATGGGAAACTGTACCGGAATGAATTAATGAGGAAAATGTCCATAATAAAACGTGAACACCCTAAGGAAGACTAAAATACATTACACGGCCAACGGGTACAGGCGCCCAACTACGGGGGGGGGGGGGGCACTTTCTTTCTCTTGATCTTGGAATGGCGATGAGACTGTTTATTATATTTTGTTTGGTTCAGTGCAAAAAATTATTATATCATAATTCCTGTAACATTCAGGCTATATCCCCTATAAATAAAATTCATATTGTCCCCTTTTTGTGGCCTGGACCCCTGCCCTCTAAAATTCCTAGTTGCGCGCCTGGGGTACCCCACAAAATGCACTTTCGCCAAGATAATAAAGAAAAGTATAACAAGAACACACGACAATAACTCAGGTCTCAGCATCACAAAACAAGAACGACAAATACCACTCACTGTACAACAATAACCGCACAATCCACCACCACAACACAAGAACAAGAAGCTTCACCCAACACCCAGAACGCGCAACATCAACGTTGAAATCACCGTCACAGTAGCCGCTCTGCAGGGGCTCCAGTCTCGCGTTCACCATGACGGGGCACCACGGCTTGGCTCTCTCGACGGGCTGGCACTCGCTGTACCTTTTGCCATGGAAGTAAAACGGGAACACGCACTTCGACCCGTCCACCGTATGCGCTGGTTCTGTTGGGGGGGAAAAACAAGGGAGAGATGGTACAACTTCGGCAACTGTGATCGGGTGGTTTTTAATATATTCCGAGCTGGTAATTAACGACATTGGTGATTTATATATGACGATAAAAAATGAAAAAAGGAGCTCACCTCCGGCTAAAGCAACGTCTTCTTGAGTTCTGTTCTCTGTAAGAAAAAATATTATGAATCAACTTTTATTCTGTAACCATGGCTTATTTTGAAAGTTTTTTTTCCCATACACTAATTGTTGTTATATTTCCCACACACTAATTGTTGTTATGTTTCCCACACACTAAATGTTGTTATATTTCCCACACACTAATTGTTGTCATAATTTAATTGTTTCATTCAATTTAATATTCATTGGTTAATTGAGCAATACAAATATAACAAGGAAGTTGTGAAACAAATCGATTATAAAATATGAAACAGAGCGAGATTCATCAAAAAACAATATATAATAAATACGTTATATAGTACCAAACGACAACAAAAACAAACAAGAGAGCAACAAACCAAAAACGGAAACAAAGTGAAACAAAGAAATATATACACAACATTAAAAGCCAAAGTTCAACTTCAGCTCAGCCTTCGAGCTATAATATTTGCCTAAATAAACTAAAAACTATAGTAAAAAAACAAATGGCTGCTGAAAACTGATGGCGAAAAAACGAAAACAAAACTACTAAAAAAAAAAAAAAAAAATCCAGAAGACGAAAAGAAAAAAAGAAAAAGAAAAAAAAAACAGCGAACCATTACTGAAAAAAAGACACACAAAAAAATAAAAACGACAGATACCAACACAAGAAAGAATATACAGAAAAACACACACATACACACCACCACCATCACCACCAACACACACGCCATCACACACCACCACCACCACCACCCACCACCAAAGCACACGCCACCACACCAACACACACGCCATCACCATCACCATCACCACCAAAGCACACGCCATCAACGCCACCACCACACCAACACACACCCCACCAACACCACCACCACCACCACCACCATTAACTACACCGAAGACCCACCCGTGCAGTAGGCTCCTGCGATGACGCGGCGCCCCTCGTCGACTCGGGTGGCGCACCACGGGACCTTGTCGTCGACGGAGGTGCACTGGCAGTACCTTTGGCCGCGGTACACGAACGGGAACACGCACGGGACTCCGGTCTCCGTCACCACGTTGTCGCCGCCTGGAGGGAGGGGGGGAGCGGAGGGAAGGGAAGGAAGGAGGGAAGGGAAGGGAAGAAGGGAAGGGAAGGGAAGGAAGGGAAGGGAAGGGAAGAAGGAAGGGAAGGGAAGGGAAGGGAAGGAAGGGAAGGGAGGGAGTGGAGAGGAGGGAAGGGAAGGAAGGAGAGGAGGAAGGGAGAGGAGGGACGGGAGAGGACGGAAGGGAAGGAAGGGAAGGGAGAGGAGGGAAGGGAGAGGGGGACGGAGAGACGGAAGGGAAGGGAAGGAAGGGAAGGGAGGAGGGAAGGGAAGGAGAGGAGGGAAGAGGAAGGGAAGGAAAGGAGAAGGGAAGGGAAGGGAAGGGAAGGGAAGGGAAGGAAGGGAAGGGAAGGGAGAGGAGGGAAGGGAGAGGAGGGAAGGAAGGGAAGGGAGAGGAGGGAAGGGAAGGGAGGAGGGAAGGGGAGGGGATGGAAGGGAAGGGAAGGGAAGGGAGAGGAGGAAGGGAAGGGAGAGGAGGGAAGGGAGAGGAGGGAAGGGAAGGAAAGGGAGGGAAGGGAGAGG